TAGGCGATGGATGGAGTGGGGGGTGGGGGGGGGTGTATGAGAATAAAATAAACGGTACGGTGACTGAGCTCCACAACTCACGCCAACCATAGCTTTTGGGTGCTTCCCTGCAAAAGGTAGCCAAGCTAGAAGACCAAAAACATGTAATCATTTTGTCTTGCTTAGCTTGGAACACACTACATACATATATACATACTTCTTCCCTTCCTAATAACCTAGCAGCTGCTGCTGCTGCAGCTTCTGGTCGGTCATTCCATGCATATATACATATTCCATTCGTCCTTAAATGTTTACCACAATTCGAAAAACGAGGCAAAATATGAAGTTTTTAAATATTAGTATAGAAATAAAAAATAGAGACTAAAATTTACATATTTAAAAATTATTCGAAAAAGGAGGTTTTAAGAATATTTTATTTTATAAAATATTCAATGAAAATATATATATATAAATAAACAAAAGTTTCAGCGATAGTTGAAAATGAAATGTGGCAAACATTTTGGGACAGAAGAAGTTGTTTATATAATGGGCAGTTTTGCTGTCTCCATATATTTTTACACCAGTTACTTTCGTGTCTTGTCTAGTCTTTTTATTTCTCTCTATATCCGCCCTTTGCCCTAGCCTCCATCGATTTCAATTCCCTTGCTTGTTAGAAAAAGGTGAAATTTCAGGTTTAGTCATTATTCAAGTAAACATTCGTTATTATAGACATTATTAAGTGTTACTCCCTCCGTCCCTCATAGATTTTTTCAATAGCTCTTTTTCTTTGTCCACAATAGATCTTCTCATTTCATTTTTTAACAATTAAAATACCATAACTACCCCCACTTACTTTATTTATTACACCTCACCCATCTCATTTAATACACTCCACCCATTTTTCATTAAGGGTATTATGGTAAACTTTCACCTTTTTTCAACTCTCCTTAAAAACCACCAAAAGTCAAAATGAGAACATCTTAGGGGGGCGGAGGGAGTATTTAGGAAATAAAATAGGTTAAGTGCTATTTAGGAAAATGACTTAAGTTTTAGTGCTATTTAGTACAAATATTTCTTATTTTAATTACAAGGAAATTTTTAATTTAAGAGACTATAATTGATCGAACAATTTAAATATATATATAAACGTAGATCAGATCTGATATGGATGTTTAAGCTAAGGAATTAAATAAATCAAGATAATTATGCAAAAGCTAATTAAGCCAGCTTTTATTTTTGTACCTTGTCTCTTGCATTAATTAATACTAATAATTAGATCTAACATTCATGGTCATTACTTAATAATCTACTCCATCCGTTTTCAAAAATATTTCTTCTTTCATTTTTTCCACTTCCAACAAAGCACTTTCCTTTTCTATTAAAAAACCATTTTTACCCTTACTTTTTCTTACCCTACCTATCACATCATACTTTTTCTCTAATTATACCCGTAATATAATTTAACACTCCCTTATTTTTGCCCAAAATCAAAATGGGAGTATTTTTGCAAACGGGACAAAATATGCCTCACCGTTAGTTTCTTTTACTCCCTCCGTTCTCAAAAACACTTCCTCTTTCATTTTTTCCACTTCCAACAAAACACTTCCCCCTTCTATTAGAAAACCACTTTTACTCTTACTTTTTCATACCCTACCTATCACATCATACTTTTTCTCTAATAATCTATCCATCACATCTTACTTTTATCCATTACATCAGGGGCAAAATTGGAAATCAACTATAATTTAATACTTTCTTATTTTTGCCCCCAAATCAAATGGGAAGGGTTTTTCCAAACGGAGGGAGTACATTTTTTTCATTATTTTTAATTCAAAATTTATATAAATTTAATACGAGTATTTATTTACTAATAAAAATAGGTGAATAATTTTAAGAAGGATTGTAACAATTTAAAAATTAAAAATAAAAGAATATAGTACAATATTAAAATTATGAAATACTACATTAATAAAAGGGGAAATTTAACATGTTTAACCTTAAAAATTGATGAATATGTGTTGAGTTTTATGTACTCCGTAATTGAAAAGTAAAACAATTAAATTTCGGAGCAGCGCGGGGCCCGTTGCAATGTCCGTTTCTACCGTGTTTCACGATCACCGGGGCTCAGCGCCGTAGCTTTAGATTATGC